CATATAATAAAATATATTTAATTCAATATTCTAAAAATACAGTGAATGAAAAATTAATCATACTTGTTGCTCAGTCATGTTTTCAAGTTCTTCTCAAATAAGGCAGCCCACTAAAATTTCTATATTTTTTTAATTTATTGGTATAATGGGGGAGGGAAAAGTTGGGATTAAGAATATAATTAATTTGGCTTGTAAAATTACACCTAAATTGAAGCAGTAAAAGAAATAATTATGTTTAAAAAGCTTAATCTATCATTTCAGATATTATCTAGTTTCCAGTAATGTCCCAGAAATGTTGTGTTGTTGCTTGCAAAACAAATTACAGAAGCCACCAAGACAGAACTCTGTGCAAGATGAATAAAATATCAGTTTATCATTTTCCAAAAGACAAAAATGGGAAGAGACTGATGGAGAAAATCAGTTCCAAATGTCAATTTGAATGTACAAACAATACAGTTATTTGTCAATTACATTGACCTTCAAATTTTGATAACATAGAAGTTCATGGAAAAATCCACCCTAAAAAACCACTAGGTGTGCCAAAGAGTCAAATACCAACACCCTCTGCTGTACAAAGGGATAAACCTCCAGTACCGCTAGAAATCAAATTGACGATGAAATGAATGTTTTAAGATTAGATAAGATTAATTATACAAATTAGAAAGAAAATCTAATCAACAACAAAAAAGACTGTCCAGTTGTAACATTTTTGGCTGAAAATATTTTAACTGTTCAGTCATCAAAAATTATCCCTCTCTTTATGTTGAGAAATTATAAAAATTTGCAGTTTGAAACCTTTCATCATGGAATTAAGTGTTATATTAACAGCCTATCCAAAAAACTTGGAAGAAATTATCTGATATTTAAATTCTATGGCTTTTGATCACAAGAACGAACTCTTGAGTCAGGATTTTTCAGCAATAGTCCCCAAAATGGTTGGAATGAAATACAGTGCAGAATAGGTGATTTTGAGTATTATGCAACATCACGGTCATCGTATAATAGATTAAGACAGGCTTTTCAATTACCATCATTAGCAACATTAAGAAGGATGACATCAAAAGTTTCAAAACTTAATGAAAATTATTTTTTGCTATCTTTATTTAATACTCTTAATGCCAATCAAAGAGAACATAATTCTCCATGATGAAGTATATATCAAGAAAATGTTACTATATCATGAGAAACAGCTATTTGATAAGTCAATTGACAATCTGCTCAAACAGGACTTGTTGATATATCTTAATGGGGATCCAAAATGTCTTACAAGATTGATTCCAATTTCAAAATTAACATCAGCCTTTTGATTTGAGCAAACCAAGTTAACAATTCAGGCCTCTGTACCAGGTGATATAAAGACTATTATATGTGATGGCAACCAAGTAAATCAAGCTTTTTTTAAAAATTATATTCCACACTCCCTGAAAAACCTTAGTTAACTGAAGATAATAAACATTTGCTTTTTGTTTATGTTCATCTCTTGAAAAATATTCTCAATTTGTGGCTTACAGAAAAAACTGGAGAACTAATCTTTGATGATAATGGAGTAAAATGAGTTGCAGAATGGGCACATCTTTAACAGTCATATCGTGTTTGAATCTGAAAGACTAAACTTTCAGATTTAAATGAAATTTCTATTGCCCCAAAGTCCATAGAAAGACAACGGATTTCTACTTGTCTCAAAGTGTTTAAAAAAAACAAAAACAATGTACTTCTCACTCAGTCTGGAATAAGTGTGGATAAGAATGATACTGCCATCTTCATAAACAAGGTTTTGACATGATGGAAAATTTTAAATATTAAGACCCTTCAAATTGATAAACTATGCAATGACACTCTACAAGTTAAAATCAGATCTCTGAATGACAGCCAACTTGATTTTATCATCGAGTTTGGCCAAATGGCTCTTAAATTTATATTAATATGGCTGGCAATCAAGATAATCGTATAAAACAATTATCCAGACACACTGCTACTACCATACACTATACTTTCAATGGAATTGTTAGTCTATCAACACCTTTTAGCCACAAGCCATAAATATGTGCTACTTGGTCAATTTACAACTGATCTATTAGAAAAAGAATTTAGTAAACTTCATCAAGGATCAGGTAGTAACTATTTTATAAATGTCCAACAGTGTATTGAAAAGTTGCATATGAAGCAGACATCTTTACTTTTAAATCAAAATGTAAATATTGATGCTTTTGATGTTAAGCCAGGTCACCAATGTACATCTTGTGATTATAAACTTTGTGAGGAAGGTCCAGAAATACTTGACAATCTGGAAATTTTAGAACCATCTCTTTCTGATTAAATAAAAATGATTCTTGTATACATAGCTAGATATATTACAAGAAATGATAATAAACCCAGTTTATATGAAACCCATTTTTATTATAAAAAGTATGGAAAATATACCAATTCAACTGACCATGGAAAACTAAAGGTCCCTTCTGACCACACTTGCCAATGGTTATTTTAATTATTAAAAGTATTCTAAGTATTTTCAAGTATAGTTAAATTAATTTTCTTCCAAAATTTCTAAAAATGAAACATTTTTCAATAGGCCTCCAGTTCTGTTTCTCAGTTGTGCCTTGAGCAGGCCTGGAGGTACCCCATGCCTCTCAGTTTCAGAGTTTATTATAACCACACAGTTAGAAGAGGGGGGGTAACTCTTTATATCATAATATTTTCAGAATTACTTCCCTTTAAGAAAAAAAAATTCTAAGCAAAAAACGTACAAATACACAAAGTGTTACCTTACTGTTGAAAGAAAATATCAGGAAGCAACAAAATAAACAACAGGCATTTTGAACGTAAATCTACAATATTATATGCAGAATATTTCATAAAAGGTTTCCAGCTAGAGTTCACTGACGTCCAAGTAGAAAAAAAAAGTTTGTGTGGATTACAACCAACAGTGAATGAATATTCATTTATGAAAATATATAAAATGTGGCAAAAGGAGGAAAACTGAGGGACTGATCTTCACTATTCTAAATTTAACTTGTCTTGACACATTCACTGACCAAATTACAATGTTTCTAGCACAATAATACCACATTTACACAAACACATCCATAACACAATTACTGAACCAACACATGTTCCCTATTAAATTCTAAACTAATGAACCCCATTTACCACAATATTTACAAATGAGTAGAGGATGCAATATTTTATTTACATACAAAAGGAATAACCCCATGATCTGAATGATGATTATATACAATGAAAATATGAGTTAATATGGGATCCTCCATGTGGATTAAATATTGGCAGAAAAGCAAGTTAACTAGATGAAAATACAGGAGAATATGTAGCAGAAAAAATAAAAATAAAAGGAAATCAAAATGAAATGCACTCACAGATCTAGAGAACTATTTTCACCTAACAAGAGAAGGTAGGGGTAATGTAAAACATAAAAATGTGTGGGAATTAATAAATATATATATATATATATATATATATATATATATATATATACATTAAACCATTTACTCTCTAGCGAACTTAAACAATTTCAGGGAACTGAAACAAGTTGTCCTTGAGGACATTAGTGAATTCATTTTTGGGACTTATAAACTCAATGTCTCAGTAACATTTTGTTAACAGAGCTCATATTACAATTAAATTGTAATACAAGCTCTGGAGAAAAATGGTTCTTACTGACTTTGTCAATATTGGCATTGTGCTTTACAAGTGTGGAGATGGCATTGGCATAAGCTGTGTACCTAGTGGAGATGATAGCACCAGGTAATGAAATTCTGCCCATGACCAGATTTGTCCTCAACCTGCACATGAAAGACAGGTCTTGTTGTGTAACATTTTCTGTAACTTATAAACAGATTGTGTATAGAAAGCTCAGCTATCAAAATTAGACATCTCTCTCCTCTTTGATGCACCTGACATCAACTATTTGAGTTAGCTCTTTATTACCAACTCATTCTTAATTCTATTGACTCACAGTGCAGCCTGAGAAACCAACCTGTGACAAAACAAACTGCTTGTCCAACCTTTTGTTTCCATTTTATCACATAATTGTGTTCAGTCCCTCCATTCAATAGTTTGCATGACCATTACACTCTACTAATACTTCATAAATAATGGACTATTCCATTTTGATCCTGCTTTCAGTGAGAAATTTCATAAAGACAAAAGAATAGAAGTGGAGAGAGAATCAGATTAAGCTGATAACAGATACTATACTTTGATCTTAACCAAAAGGACGAGATATAAAATACATTATTTTGTGGCACAAGGTCAAAGGAGAAATGGCTGATCAACACTTTCTATATTACACCGAGGTAATTCAACTTGCAATCCATTCAATTTAACAATTACCTCAGTCACCACAAGAACATACTTCACTACATACATACATATATATATATATAAAAGCAATGGTGATCATGATAAAATGCCATTTTTCAGACACAGTATTGAATGACAAACCGAATAAGGTCAGAAATTCAGTTACTATAAATAAAAGAACATTATCTGCTGACCTACTTTTTTTAATTATTATTAAGAGAAATGAGAAGACAGGGATTTTGATCTTGTGGAAAGTGAGGAAAAGACACTACTCAGTTTCAGTAAGAAAATGAATGAATGAAAGAAAGGGAAGATAGTATTTAAAAGCTGTCAATTGTACCCACTTAAAATAATGAACAGCATTCATATTTATAATTGTTATTGCAATATTTTATTAAAGTTGTTAAACTGAAATGTTTAATGATGTAGTAGGGAATGTCTACAGATATTTTACTGTCATAGAACTCTGCACAAGCTTATTCAATCATTAATTGAAGAATTAAGATTCATCAGAAAATTCAAATTGGAAAACCGTGAAAATTTTCATGGGTTAAAGGTAGTACATAATCATTTGTCTTGAGAAATTGGAACTTCCAAGATGCAAAAACTTTGTACAATCAAGGAAAATGGTAAGTTAAAGAAAAAAGAAAATGGTAAATTAAAGAAAAAGGAAAATATCTTACGTGTTAAGAGAACTAGCTTCACCAGCATATGAAATATTTCATCAGGATTTTGAGATAAAGTTTGTATTTCAGTTCCTTGTTTCAGGAGTTTTAGCAACATCATGTGACAAGGCTTTCTCAAAGATTCTTCACTTTTAAGAGTGTCAAACAGAGTTGATAATGAAATCTGTGAAGCATCAAAATCATTGGCTAATGGGACACCATTTGGAGGACCAATCACAACCAGTTTTATGCTTGTCCATTTAGCATCTTTAGAGGCTTGAGCCAAGAATTTACTCCACAAAACTTGATCCACTTTTTGAAACAAAGGCAGACATTCTTTGAAATCTGGAAAATAGAGAGAGAGAGAAAAAAAAGTAGTGTTGTTTTCTTCCCTTGGACATTTTTCATTAATTCTATTTTTTTTCACCACCCACTTCTCACCCATTTTACTCCTCTCCTCAACTTTTTGACACCTTTTTTAATGTGTCACATATGGAAAAATTACTTGCTGTCAAGAACCTTGAGTCATGGTTACAAAACATGTACAGCAGCCATAACACCTGTTGTGTGTATATAGGGCAAGATAGCTTGGCAGAACTCATCCCTATTCAAGCTGGTTTAGAATTCAGAGAGTTTCTTCTTACTAGACTAGTTACAACTCCAAGTCAAGAGAACCCAGTCAACACAGTTATTTCACCCATAGCTGGGGACGGAGAGAAGAGATGGATTTTGACCTTTCCCAATATGTATGTGAAAGCGAACATACTGATTTCAATTTGATAATTTCTCTTTCCAAGTAATTAACCATGGCACTAGTCACATACTCAACCTTCTACAATATTGTTATTATGGTGCTTTACAGTCAGGTGTATTCAGACTTAAACTTTGTGTAAAGAAAAAAATTGTAGGACTAAAGCGACAAAAAAAAAAAAAAAAAAAAAAAATGTTAAAGTTAAGATTCTTTATTTTAAAATTCCAAAGCTAGTCCAAAAACAAACTTACCATGTTTCTTCTGTTGAATATTATTTTCCAGCTGTTTAACTGCTTGTGAGAGAAATTCTAGCGGATTTTCTGAATAAGCAAGTCCTGTGAGATATGTATGACAAGCGAGATGGGGTCTGTTGAGAACCTGCAACACTTGGGCTTTTCTCCAGTAAGCCTTGTCAAAAATAAATTTAAACATTACAACTGATTACTAGAGAAAACAATTACCTAACTGGGAAAATGGGAGGTTGTGACGGATGTTTAACACACATACCAGGATCGAAAAGGCTACAATGTTTCACATACTATTGCCAATGAACTTAGCATGAGCTTATTCAAACATTAACTTAAGAATTAAAATTCATCAGAAAATTCAAATGGAGAAACTGAAATTTTTGCATCTAGTTCTAGTCAAGATTAATGCAGAAAATTATTCTAAGTTTTTCAATAAGATGTTGTTTTTTCACAATAAAGAATATTCAAACTAAAGTTGTTCTTTCGTATCTGAATCTCTGGGATGAGGAATTATTTACAATTAGACTAGTATCCACATCTTTATTGTTATTATAATTTTTCATCTAGTAGATTAAAGAATTTTGTTCATGGATTTGGTGAATTAGTAATTGTGATTTCAATCCCTGGGATAGGCAGTATGTACTTGGACGCAGTGGAAATGAGGCAAGCAATAACTGATCAGTACTAAAATAAGAACCAGATGAGATTATAGGCAGTGAAAGAACAATCTATCCCAGTAAATTAAATAAAGGGTTCAGTTCAAAATTCCCAGAAGACACCTAAAGAGGGCCAAAAGAACCAATGGTCAAAAGGCTATGATTCTAACAACAAAGATGATCAAATATTTGAAGAAAATACCCAAAACCACATACCCTCAATTTGGCCAATGGTAATTTGACAGAGTTCAGGAGTGAATAAACAATTATTCTATGTATGAAAATTTAAACTCGTGTCCCTATCAAACATTAACATTACATATTATTAAATAGCTGTCAATGCTTTAAGATTTTTTTCTTACTTTCATATACTTTCAGAATACAAAATTCTTCCCATTAATTATTGAATTTTACCCATTAATTATTTGGTTGGAAAGAAAGACTTCATGGTTTCTTTATAAATTTAAAGTTCTACCACTAGCAAAAACTTCCTTCCAACCAGACATATTTATGACATACATTTTACTGTTGTACTGTCTCTGGTAAAAATACATTCAAATGTACAGATCCTATATTGACAAATTGTGTTTATTATTACAATCTAATAAAAATATCAATTGTTGATGAAAGGAAGCTCCAAAAATTTACCTTTCCAAATGATGGAAATATCGACAAGCATTTCTCAGCAAATTCCAAGGATTTGTCATATCTCTTTTGGTAGGAATAAACTAAAGATATGTTTCTGAAGTATTTGGCTCTTCCTGCAACATTAGCCTCATCTAAAATTGAAAGAATCTGGAAATAATACTGCAGAGCATCATCATAACGGTGTTGATCTATGGCAGTTTTGGCATTTTTTGTTAACATGCCTTCTTGATTTTGTTCATCTGCAAGAAGAGAGAATAAAAAAGAAAAAAAGTTTGTACTTTAAAATTCAAAAATTTTTAAAAATAAAAAATTACATTAAAAATAAAAAAATTAAGATGTAGTAAAAAAAAATAAAAAATAAAATTAAAATAAAAAATATAAAATTAAAATAAAAAAAATATTCCTCTTATTGTTGTTCTGTTACCAGAGTACAGCATCTCTATTGTTTTATTTCCCCTTGTTCATCCTTTTTTTAATTTAAGCACATTTTAGATTAGTCACCATTTGGATCATTTCCTGTTTAGTCTTTAGTAATTACCAAAACTGGCACAATAAAGTACAAGATCAAAGCACCGAGTTTCTACTTTCTTATCCTCCGAAACCTACACCCCTCCAAAAAAAACAATAGCTCCACTGATACATAACCTCTTAACCTTTTTCTCTAAGCATTGGTCTCTTAATGTCTTATTTGAACATTTGTTTAAGGTTGCCACTTTGTATATATTTATTTTTGCTGCTGCACATCATATTGAATCCCTTTCACCATGTGTTGACTGTTATCACACTGCATCAGACTGTAATTTTCTACCTTTCTGTATACTTAGCATTGCAAACTTTATAATGTGATGCTGACATCTCTGGAGGTTGATCAAATGAAAAAGGAAAGAAAGAAGAGCAAAGAGTCGAGTAACTGGATGATAATTTTTGAAACTCACAGGAAGATGGATCGAAAAGTTAAGAAAATTATTAACGAAATGTATTGAAAAATCATGTTTTAAAATAATTCCAAGGAGAATCAAACCCAAACTTAACTAGACACAATTCAGTAACATTGAGCAAAACCAAGACTACCCATCGTTCCTGCCAATGAAAAAGTTTGCTTCATCAGCAATCTTCTCACCCAATGAGATCAAAAAACACGTGACAGAGGAGTGAGTGGTCACACACAAATAAATGCCAACTAACTGTGCCTACCATTATGATACCAGCAAGTTACATGTTAATGAGTGAAGAGTCAGCTAGATGGTAACCATGGTGGTCTGAAGGAACTTGAGGACCAATACGAGGCATAGGGCTACATTAACCGAGATTGTTGATGAGGGACAACCCACAGGGTGATATTATATGGTTACCATTGACGAGGACCAACATATTCCTGTCAGCAAACTACTTGCTATCATCTTCTTTACCTCTATAGACTCTTAACCTCTCAGCTACGTTCAGCCTTCAACCACTTTGCATTCTTTCTCTTCCTTTTTGCTTTATTTATTTATTTTGTTATTCAGACTAAAACCGTCTGAAGTTTGTATTTATTACTTTTTCTAGTTTCACCTTTTGGCTTTCTATAAACCTGCTGATGGACAGGACCATATTCAGAGTTTTGATTGCCATAAGGTGTTAATCTGGCTGTCTGAGAGATGAACATATATTGGGAGGCAATACAATTATATTTGACAAATGTTCTAGATGTCTGTACATGTCACAGGGCAAATGTTGTACACAGCTAGATACTGGTAATGGCAGGTAAGGTCCAACTGTGAAAAGGTTTGGTATCAAACCTTATTGTCATTGAACAGGATGTGCAAGTGGTGTAACAGACCAGCACAGAAAATGGAATTGGTGAGCAGAGTTCAAACTTTGGGCTAATCTACTGCATTTACTTTCACACAAATACACTTGGGAAAGGTATGAATCCATATCTTCACTCCAAACCAAGCTAAAGGTTAAATAGCAAGGTAGACATGTCTAGCTTGCCTTGGTTGGGCAAGAGAAGAAAAACTTAATTGTGTAGAAGAGTAATGGGAAGCCACTGCACTATCTTTTCCAGGAATGCACAGCAATTCACCAAATAATAAAGTAATCTGTGGAGAATCATGATCAATGTCATGATGGGACATGGTGATTTTAGATTCTTCTTGTATGTATCAAACCTTTTCAGGACATGAATGATAATGGCTCTCCACAACTTCCTGTCTTTTGTTGCTCTAAGTAACTTTGGCATTTTACCATCCCTCTTTATCTGCCATTCATTTACAAACTCTAAATTATTGGTCCTGACCTGGCATCTCGGTTTAAGTTACTTTCCAACTGCCCTTTGCTGTGCCTATAAATGTTCATGACAATTGCTCTTCTTTGATAAATTTAAGAGTGCAGCTCTAAAGTAGCAATTAGGGCTTATAAAAACAATCTGTGTACTTAGACTACTGTGAGTGTCCAAGTCAGGTGCCAGGAATAGGATTGGGCCTTCTAAAACCTTGTCTCAAATTATTATGATGAGTTTCAATATGTTGATAGGCATATGTAGAGAGGTAAATTGAGATCCTCTGAGGATCCCTTACTTTGTGCGAAATTAATCCCAGTTAAGTCTTAAAAAAAAAAAAAAAACCCACACACAGCTATGATAATGATGTTTAATACATAGCTGATGAAAAAAAAAAGAAAAAAAAAAAGAGATCAATTCATAACTTTCTGAAGAGTGTGTGAAAGTGCATGCAATAACTAAGGGAATTTGGCTTGACAATTTCTTGTTCTGTGCTTCTAACCATGACACTATATATTTTTATATGTTAAAACTACTACTTACAACCAAACATGACATCTGAATACAGGTCGAGAAGCCTTTATCTGAAATTCTTGGAAGTGCTTTGGTTTACAGATTTTGAAATACAGTATTTAATTTGTATATAGCATCTAAAAAATGGGGGTAACTTGGGAATGGAACCCAAGCATAAATACGATATCCCTTTACATTTCAGAACAGAGCTTATACATCTACCCTGAAGGTAGTTTTATATAAGCAGCATATGTTCACTCCGACCCTGACAAATCCACTCCATCAATACATGACCAAGATCATTCATTTTTTGCTCTGTGCAATGTTTTTTCAATTTTTCATTAATTTCTGTTCATCACATAAAACTTTAACAATTTCCTTCGGTTGTATATGGTGGTTGTTCCAACACCAAAATCCCCAGTCAGACACTTCACACTTACACCCCTGTCTAGTTTTTTTTCCAACAGTTTGACTTTCTGCGATATTCATAAACATAAATGATTTCTTTTCACTACCCATATGAATATCTGCAGGACTTTTGACATTTTGAATAATATCTTTACCAAGCACAAAACACCTGGTAAGCAATCCATGAATTTAAGTATTGCTGTGATGATTGCTAACAATAAACTGGTGCCAATGTAGACTACTTAGCTGGGCTGGGGAACAAGGGCAGATGAGGGTCACTTACAACACCTAAGAAGCTACCCAGTGCTTTCTGAAATTTTCCATTTGTGGCAAATTATGTCAGCACCTGAAAAAATTTTGAATTTTGGAATTATATGTATATTTCTGATAGAAATGAAGATGTAATTTTTGTTCAAAATAGAATTTCTATGTCCCTGGAGTTTCTATCTCACAAAAATAATTATTCAGGTAAAAATAAAGAGAAAATAGTTTACCTTCAGGCTTGCCTCTGATCTGTTGATTGATCTCCATGATATTTTTGTAGTTTGTGTTTGATTGATAACCTTTCTCTTCAAGATATTTTATCACAGTAAATCCTTCAGGGTTCTTTGCATCTAAACTACCATTCTGATGGAACAGTTTGGCCACCACAGTGTAAAGTTGAAAAAAACCTGTATCAAAAATAATATTTTTATAAGAAGAGCAGCTAAGACATCATGTATATTGAAATTTCAGCTTTTTAATGTTAATCCAATATTTGATTATCCAACATCTAATTTTTTTTCATATTTCATTCTTTTCAGAAAATGCACAACTCACAATTTTGATACCAAAATCCAAGATGCCACATGATTTTTAAAAAAAAAAAAAAAAAGTCTTTAAGCAAATTAATCCTCTAGGTCAGGTAACCCCTGGGCTACATTCAAGCCAATGAAGGATTTTTCTCAGGCCTGCCAATAGTAAGGAATTTGTATTTTCTGTTGATTGTGTTAGTAGTTATCCTGTTATTCCTGTAGTAAAATAAGGAACTTTGTTTAAATAATACATTAACTTTGTTGTTTTTTTTCAAGTTACATGTGCTATCCATTTTAGTTGTTGCCATTGCTGGTAGTCATCAACTGATGTGATTTCTGTTATTTGGTACAGTTCTTTGTTTTGTAGCACCAGTTCACAATGCTCATAGAAGGATGATCTTTGTCAAGACCCTTTTTACTTGCTCAAAGCCTTTTCTCACCTTTGATCTTAGAAAGTGGTTGTATATAACTGACAGTTTAGATATTTCTGAAAAGGCTTGGTGCCATGCATGACATCAATATGAAAGTCACGATCTGACAAAGCTATTTAAGACCGTAATTCGAGTTTGCAGGTTGATATTTTGGCTTTATAGCCATTTGTGATGTTTGGCTAAACTACCTCAGGCACAGCCTGGTCTATGTTCAATTTCTTTTTCTTCTATACTTAATCTGTTCTAACTGATCAATATACTGAGGTATTTGAATGTATATCCACTGTAAACAAATGGCTTCTTTGCATTAACCCTTTTGCCCAGTGATGCAGTAGACACATTCTTAAACTAACATATTTTTAAAGGCTCAGCTATAGAGCTTTTAAATATTCAAAATGTGCTGCTGTGTTTTTTTATGGCATCATTAAGCTAGTTTTATAAGTTTATTTTTTTTTTAACCTTGCATATTCAGACTAAAAAGACCAAAAATTATATCGAGGATCTTACAGAATATGTATATTTTATTACTTTAAAGTGATTTTTATTGGATACCCAAATTCAAGTAGGCACACCATTTATTTTATTTTGCTTACCAGCCAAATTATTTGAAAAAATCTTAAGAAAATATTTAATAGTCTTTAATATGTTCAGGCCGGTAGATGAAATAAAACACTTTTTAAACTAAACAATGTCTACTCAAATATGGGTATCCACTAAAAATAATGTTTAGAGTAACAAAAGTATTAATTCATACATACACACATATATAGGTAACTCCACGAAATTGCTAAAAAAAAAAAAAAAAAAAA